CGTTGTGTTATGTTACACTGCCATAGATATATTATTCCCCGTTTTGTTAAGTGTGGTCTCTGGGCAAAGTAGCAGGTATTTAATTGTTTCTATCATGCGCATGTTGCATAATCAGTACTCAGTGTATTTCCACTCAGCGGAACATTTATATTTCTAATGTAATCTACCTTAAATTATTTAACACACTGAACGACTTACAAGTAAATAAATGCATTTCTCAATTGTACATATCTTTATTTTATTTCTAATACTATAGCTTATTGCCTAAATTAAACATATTATTGTGGTTAACATAATTAATAACGTACTTCTAACGTCATATTTTACGTTCATGGCGTAGAAATTTTTTTAATGTGGTTTAAGCAGTTTTAGATTTTTTTTCGTTTAGTTTAATATCTTGTCTAGCAGTTTAATATTTCTTAACTGTAAAATATTGATGCATAGAAACTTAGTTTTTTGCAGTCAAACGTCTGAAATTTGTATAAAAGTTTCTTAAAGAGATTTCTGTTTCAATAGACAGATTTTAAAATCATTTCTCATATTTAATGAATGTATTTAACGCTGTGATAGCTAATCGTCACTTTATTAGGACGTTAATGAACTTATGTGTAAGCTTGTCTAAAATTACCTTAGTCGATGCAGCATTTAATAAAATTACATTACAAATGTTTATAAAGAGGAAAACAAATCTTTTGCTCGAATTAATGGATTAGTGTACTTATTTCTCCTCGCTTACCTTCCGACTGTTTCTTTTTCCTCAACTAGAAGTACAATACGAAAAAAAAAAAGAGAGAGGTGGGGGACAGTTTTATATCTCTCGTTCTACTGGGCCGATTGACGAAATTCAAATTGCGTTTTTCATGCCTCGAAAGCGCGATTTAATATATATGTTAGATTTATATATATCTTTTGACACAAAATCGTTCTTTTTCTGAAATTACATGCCAGTTTTTTCCCATATTTCGATTCTACGACTCAAATTATGCCAAACTGCCAAGTTTTGTAAAAATCATACGAGTAGTTTTTAAAAAATTAGCTCTCAAAATTTTAGCATCTCAATGTTAATTCAATTTGGTATGTATTAATATCTCTTTTTTTTACTACGCTTACTTGATTCCTTCTTTCACGGTTCGAAATTTAAGTTCTTTCCAAATAAAATTCACCTATTTTTATGATTTATTTTAAAATTATTTTTTATAAATTTTTCGAAAAAAGTTTGAATTATAACCTTTTTACCATCATCTTAAAGTAGATATATTTCTAAGCATACCTGCAAAAAATTAGGACTTTTTATTCAAAAGTTCCGAAGATATACTACGTGAATTTATATATTGGCGCGTTTAAAATTTGGCATATTTGTTGAAAGCGATAACAACATGTAATGTGGTTTATGGACTTGGTTAAAATTATTTGGAAATAGGAACGATGTGACTTTTTCCCCCGTCATGCACAATGTAAAAAGAGGAAGGAAAATAGTTGGCCATAAATTAAGAAGTTCGCCAAGTGAATTATTCTTGGCGCAAACTGAAAAAAAAATGTACCTAAGGTAAATTTTTGAATTTCTTCGTAAATTTCGCAGCATATTTTACAAAATTTAATATTTAGGCATAATTTGAGTCGTAGACTCTAAATATGGAAAAAATTGGCATGCTATATCATCCAAAGTCGTATTTTCGAGATATGAAAAACGCAATTTGAATTTCGTCAATCGGCCTTCAGTGGAACGGAGATATAGAACTGTCCTTTCTGCCCCCACCACCGCAGTGTAAAATTTTTCAGTGTTGTTGTTTTTGCTACTAATCTCACTTGTCTGAATAAGAGCAAGTTCACGAATTGCCAGTACTAGATTGCGCCTGTCGTCCAGAGCCCTTGAGCATCATACTTGAGCATTTTTCAGTGTAACTCAAGCAAAATAAATATTTTGAAGTAATAATCGTATCTCTGTGCTGTGATAATATGTATTGTCTAACACAGCGACTTAAAAGTTGATTTTAATCTGAAATTAGAATTTGTTTTTAAACAGGAGACTTGAAAAATATACAATACCTTCGCCGGGATTCTAAAATGGACCTCTTGGGTACGCGTCAAGGGTGCTACTGTTACACCACGAAGACATGCTGGAAGGAGGGAGAAACTACCTTATATCTTCTTAAAATAGTATAAATCAGTGCTTAAATAAAATCCTACAAATTCGAGATGAAATTATGTACTAGAATAACTAAATGCTTATTAGTAGTTATAAAGCGCCCGCGAGAGAACATCTTCAGGGAAATAAAAAGATTTCAAATTTTCTGATAAACAAGGCCTTAAAAATAGACATAAAATATACAACCAATTCACGCCATGAACGGCAAATTTAACGATTTTGACAATTTTGGGATTTTTCACCCATTTACTGGATCAAACTTTCACGTTTCATATTTTCTAACAAAAAGCATTAAAATGACGGTAAAAATTTTAAAACGTGTATTAAAATAAGCACACCGCAAAAAATGAAGTATTAAATCAATATGAAATGTGTTTAAATTAGCAAATCTTTGATGTTTTCAGATTTTCAAAGAACACGATACTAAAAAGTCAAATTTTTAATTAGAAAACTTAAAAATGACATGGACAAATTCTATTTAAGGTTCGAATGACGCAAATTAAAAGAAAAAAACTTTAAAAATGTCGAGAACAAATAAAATTTTTCTAATTAAAAATGGATGAATGGTAAAAAAAACATTAAAAATAAGAATGATAAACAGAGAACAAATTACAATTTTTTTTAAAAAATGGATGAAGTGAAAATAGAGAAAATATTTTTAAAAAAAGAAAAGTAATTACACTTTTAAACAAATTTTAGCTAAATAGTTCCAAACTTTTTTTCTGAAAATAACACCAATGACCCTATTCATGCAAGTCCGTTTTCAATATGATGTCACAGTCTTTCATTTTATCACTATACTTAATTATGAAAGGTTTTGAAAGTGTCGAGTGAATATTTGAAAACCCCATTCCATTCTATAACATCCTTCAAACATACTATAGTATTTTCGGGTAATTTATTTTATGTGCAAAGTATTTTAAAAAGCCGTTCATTTTGTTTCTGGTCAATCCAAGAATTAAAACTTTCTGGATATCCTAGCCATTTTGAAAAGAGTTTTTTTCCTTTTCTATTTATTATTTTACGAATTTTGTAAATTTCATCTTTTTTGTCGTATTTAACTAATCCTTTTTCATAAAAAGTACCTTTAATTTTCTCATTATTAAAATCTTTGAATTTATATCTAAGAGGATCAGTGTTTAAAAACTTTAGAAATCATAAAATCTTTTCTGTAAATGTAGGATCATGCTGCCTATTAAAAGAAATTTTAAATTTAGAAATATTACCAATTTTTGAATTTAGTTTTTTAATTTCTAAATTCTTATAAACTACAGCTTCATTATCTTTATCAGATGCTTCCATAGGTGTCATTTTTATAGACCGGTGATATTAATTATAATGATTTTTAACTAATTTATAAATAAAATTAATAATCTATAAATATAAAATTAATAATCTATAAATATTCTAATTCCATTTGCATTTAAATATATCCTAATGTTTCAGGGGTCTGAATCTTCATGGGAATTCGTTTTCTAAAAATCTTTTTAACCGCCTTTTTGGCTTCTCCAATTTTTCTGTTTATGTGACTAGTCCATGCATACTTACTAAAACAATCAATTACGATTGATAAATATTTTTTTCTCTGTTATATTTTTAAACGGCTTTAAAAATAATAAATCTCCTTGAAGTCAGTGTTAGGAATATACATTCTTCTTCTAAAATTCCTAATAAGTGGTTTATATTCTGTACAAATATCTTGTTGATGTAGAAAGGTTTCAATTTCTTTTTGAGGCATTTTGGTTTTCCTCTACAACTCTTTCACGCTCGAATAACTTGTTTCAGGATTATAATACACATCTTTTATGCTTTTTTTTGGCAAGCCGTTTAAGCTAAAAAAATACTTTTTTTAGAGCCGCAAACACTGCAAATACCTTTCGATATCGGTTTGTTTTTAGAAAAGGTTTCATGCAAATCTTTAGGTTTTGTGTTTTCTTTACATTTCAAACAGTATTTCATTCCAAATGTCTATTTTACTTGTATAATAGGTCTAACGACTCTTCTTTCTGTTCTTTCACGCACTGTAGGATTTGGAATGGGGTCTAAATCATCTATCATATATTTATCCCATACATTATTTCAAGGCTTCAAATCTCTGTTTTTTTAAATAATATATGTAATTTTTGTAAGCTGTTTCAACCACTACGTTTATATGCTTAGACCATTCTTTATAAATCAGGCTTTAGCAGAGCTTAAATTGCGCCGGAGCCCGGCTCCGGTACTTCTTAGTTTTTGGGATATATTCTAATTCTAGTCGGAGCGCACCGGAGCCCTAAATAAGAAGGCTCTGGCACTTTTTTATGTAATGGAACAATTATTTTAGTAGAAATTTGATCTAGAAAATTTTATTTTTAGCAATAAAATTATATAAAAAATCGCTTATTAAATTTTAATTTATCTCTTTACATTTTATTTAATTTTAATTTATTTAATTACTTTAATCTTTCATTATTTTAATAAGTAATAAATTGTGAATTAATTAAACAATAATTACAAGTTAAATAATAATTAATACATATTAATTATTGATATTAATTAAATAATTATTAATTAATTTTATACTCATTAACTATTTAATTTTTAAATTATTAATGATTTTAATAGTAATTTTGTTTATTTATTTATTCTTGTTCCTCTTTCGTGATGGTCTTTCACAGGGCTCCGGCACTTCTACTTTTAGAAATTAAGCCCTGGGCTTTAGCCTCGTTTTACCCCATAAAAGGTACGTCCCAGGCCCAGGCAAATGCATTTCAAAGGCTAAATTTTTAATTAGTTTATTAATAGCACCTTTTTCTTTCTTCATTTTTATGGTATTACAAAAAATCTATTAGTTATTCAAGTTTTTCTTTTTCAGATACTTTTCAACTGGGAAAAATTGTAAGTCTATAATAAGTTTTCTTTCTTTCATCAAAGCTTCTTTCTTTGTCATGGTTTTAGCTTTTAGAGAATATAACAGAGATTTAAATTTTAACATTTAAGAGAATTTAGCAGAGATTTGTAAAATTTATGAATATGCTTCTCTTTTCTTTCTGGAATTTTTAACAGAAGAAATTGAAATACTTATATCCATTCAGAAGTTTCATAGGCCTGTCAATGATACGATAAAGAAAGCCCGTGCCTATGAAATAAAATAAAATCTTATCAAAATTTCTAACATTTAATATGAATAAAGGCTCAGCTATTAGTTTTTAGAAAGAAAAAATTAGATCTACCTTCAGAACTGTTTACTGCTCTTAACGAAGAAAAAATTGCTCAAAAGATTGAAAAATGCCAGTGATTTAAAAATAAGATTAGGTAAAGAAAGAGGCCTATTGAACAATACAATTTCTCGAGCAAAAAATTTGACTGAAGAAGAAATTCAAGAAAAGAGACCGGCTATAGAGGATAATGATAAGAAAGAAAATGTGTTAGAGATGTATTTTGGAAAGACTAAGATAAAACAAGAGGCTGTACAGAACTGAGCAGTAAAGGCTTAGAAAACAAATTAGATCTTTTAGAAGAGTTAACTTGAAAAATTTGAAAATGTTTTGATTGCTAAAAGATTAGATAGTGATGTTGCTTGACAACTTCCTAAGAAATCGGAAAGTGGATAAGGATTTTGTGGAAGAATATTATAATAAATTTCTTCCCATATAAATTGAGAAGTTATTTTAAAACGAGCATGTATCTATCTGATCGTTAAAGAGATAAAAATGAGAAAAGCGTTTTAAAATTTAATATACGAGTAAAATATCAAGCCCTGAGCTTTACTACTGATTACTGAACCTGCCAAACCGTTTTTATACAAAGATATATCCGATCATAGCTGTAAATGTTCATCCCTTGGAACGTATATTTAACTTTTTTGACGAATACAAAATGGTTATTATAAGTTTTAAAGTTGAAATCAAATACGAAAGGAATAAAGATGTGAATGTGCTATGCACAACTGATAATAACGACTATAAAATTGTTATAGAAGAAATGAGTTGGATGGTTTCACTTGTTACTTTCACAAAAGATGCTGGAATGAATTTACAGTTGAAAGATCAAGCCCACTGAAAAACAGGGGTGGTATGTGTGAAATCAACTCATCATCAAAAGAAGTGATACGTGTCTATTTACGTTAAAAGAGAAAAATAACTTAAAATGAACAGTGTGATATTTGACAACTTAGATATAATTTTCTTGTTAGTTAGCATTGAACAACAATATAAATATTTAAAATGAACTATATAAAATAGATTTCACTAGTAAGAAATATAATCAATTGCATTCGGCTCTTTCAGGAGCAGGACTGAATGTTATCATCACAAAAACAGCGTGTCTGATAAGCCATAAAATGTTTGAAAGTCTGTATAATATGATATGTTTCAAATTTCTCACGCCACGAAGGCTATTTAGATTTAAATAGTTTAGACGTTAATTTTCACTTTGAACTGAGAAATGCTCCAAATGACTCTTTTAGATTTTATTTCATTTTGCATCAGGGAAGGATCTGTAAATTTTAATGGTTTCTAAACAAATTTCTGCGATACCCGCCTTAGGAAAACGAAAAAAAAAATATCCTTTAATAAATGACTGCGCATAGTAAAACAAAAATAGTAGTAAAATAAAGGGAGAAAAACAAAGTAAAAAAAAATTTAGTAAAATAAACGGAGAAAAACAAGGTTTCAAAACTTACGCTATGGAAAATAAAAATTTAACCAACTGTGGAAATCCGAAAAAGGAAAAGGCGTTACAAATTTCACACACTTTCAGAACCTTTCATAATTAAGTATATTGATAAAATAAAAGATTATTGCATCATATTGAAAGCGGGCTGGTATTAACTTCAAGAAAATGAATTGAATTACACTCATGTCCATAAATTAAGGATAATTCGGAGTCACGCGAAAATCGAACTCTAAAATAAATATATCACCTGTAAAATCACTACACACATCTTCAAGAATCATATGCAAATTTCAGGAAGTAACCAGATGACACCGATGGTACGTCACAATGACGAGAGTGTAAGAGAGTGATATATAAGGAATACAGGCAAAGAAGTAAAATTGTTCGCAGGCGCTTTATAAGTATATCAGTGCAATAACCAAATAGTTATGACACAATGGACGCATTTGGATGATTTTTTACGTAGTAGATTTATCGGCCGTCTGGAATGTGGACGTACCCAACTGGAAGTATCAGACGAACTTGGAATTGCCCAGAGTGTCATCTCCAGGCTTTGGCAACGATTCCAAGATGATGGTAATGCGAGTAGACGTTACAGCACAGGTCGCCCCAGAGTTACAACGCCGAATGAGGACCGGTATTTGGCATTTACTACCAAAAGAAACAGGCGGAGCACAGCCTCAGACCTGTCTCGTCAGCTCTCTTCAGCCACTGGTACGACAATTTCAAGGCAGACCGTGTACAGACGCTTAGGGCAGATTGGTCTATATGCCCTTAGACCTGTCAGATGCGTTCCACTTACTTCAACTCACTGTCGCCTGCGGTTATCCTGGAGTAGAGAGTACGCATTGTGGACACCGCAACAGTGGACTTGTGTGATGTTTTCCGACGAGTCCAGGTTTAGCTTGCAGTCTGATTCTCGCCGGACTTTCATATGGAGAGCTCCAGGTACCCGTTACCACCAAGAAAACATCATTAAACGACACCGTTACGGTGATGCAGGAGTGCTCGTTTGGGGTGGAATTATTCTGGGTTCCAGAACTGACCTGCATGTTCAAATTGGAACCATGACAAGTCAAATCTATCGGGACGTCATTCTGGAACAACATGTACGTTTGTTTCGGGGCGCCACGGGCGCACGATTTGTGTTTATAGATGACAACTCCCGTCCTCACCGTGCAAACATCGTAAGCGAATGCCTTCAATCGGAGGATATCATCCGTATGGACTGGCCAGCATCCTCACCGGACTTGAATCCAGTAGAGCACGTGTGGGATATGCTTGCCGACAAGTTGCAGCCCGTCAACCTCCTCCTACATGTCTACCGGAGCTTCGAAGAGCATTGCTTTTTGAGTGGTGTAATATCCCCCAAGATCAGATTGATAATTTGATACTCAGCATGCCTAGGCGTTGTACGGACTGTATTGCATCGTCTGGGAGACATACAATGTATTAACAACCATACCAACCATGTAATATTAGTTTTTTGTAAATAGGTTTTTTTTCGTAATTTGCTCCAGGGAGAAAAAATCGCTATTTTTTTTAATAATATCAAACACATAGCATCTTTTTTTGCTCTTTACCTTTTGTTTAATAAATAAGCTTTACAAATAAGTTAAATTTGTGTTGCTTCTAACTCTTCCTTTGCCTGATTTTGCATTATCCTTAATTTATGGACATGAGTGTATTTAATTATGGCAAAGCACACCAGTGGAGGATTTCAAAGGGAAACTGGCTCGTATACACTTTACACATGAGGAAAACCACGAAAACGCCCATGCAGCCAGCCCGTTCGCGGAATTCGAACCTCGGACCGAACTACCACTGTACAGCGGCTTTACCGCTCGGCCTCTGGTGGGCTTCAAGAAAAGGGCTTTGAAGTAATTAAAAATTTGTTCAAAAATCTAATTAATTTTAATCTAATTTTGTTATCATTCTTATACACTTTATAAATCGATTTTGGTATATATTTCCTATCTTCATCTATTTTTACACACTTAATAATTCAATTTATGTACTCGTATATATTTTAACTTAACCCATTTTTAAAATTTATAACTTGTTCTGGGCATTTTATTCTTATTTTTATTGCTTTCTTTTATCATTCATTCAATTTTAATTAGAAAAAATTTATTTGTTTTAGACCCTTTTTTTAAAAAATTTTTTTTAATCTGTCTCCATTTGATCCTTATATAGAATTTCTCCTCGTCATTTAAAAATTTTCGAATTAAAAATTTTATTTTTAACCACTCTTGGCAAATCTGAAAATCGTCAAAAAATTAATATAGACACACTTTTAATTCATGTTATGCGTGTCCTGATTTTTTGCGGAATACTGTTTTTAATGCATTTTTAAAATTTTTACGGTAACTTTTATACTTTTTATTAGAAAATACGAAGTTTGGAAGTTTGAGCTATTAAATGATGGGAAAATTCTAAAACTGTCAAAATTATTAATTTCGACACATTTTTAATGCTTTATGTCTATTTTTATTAGACAATTTGAAGTCTTCTCATTTCCCTGAAGGTGTCCTCGCTCGAGCACTTTATAAACTACTATCTACTCCTAAAATTACTCCTAAATGTCTCAAAATAGCTGAAAGGATAAATCCACTGAATGCTTGTCAGCTGTTCTGGAGTTTCTTCCCTGCAGAAAGTTTGGGATTAGAAATTTTATGGATTTTCCATCGCGTAACATGAGTACAAGTTGATGAGTACATGAGTACAAGTAACATGAGTTGTTTTGCTAAAGCAACCAGAATAAGTGTAAGATAGTTGGCCACGTAGATGCGTATCTTTTGAATAGCAAAAGATTCTATGAAACCTTTGCTTTTCAAAAAGTTTATTAAACTGGAAAGATAAGTGATTGGCTTATTTCAATAAAAATTAAAAATTAACTTTATAAGCATGGTTTCATTCTCTTGTTAATGCGTATATGCTGTAGAGGAATGAAAAGTATTTCACTTTTAATGTAAGCATATATTAAATATTTCATTTACCATTTGCAAGTCTAGAAGATACGATATTTTGGAATGACTTGAAGAGAACTGTAGGCTATGGATGCTACTCTAATTTTCTTATGTATAATAAAATCGCATAGTGGCGAATATTTTAGCCAATTTATTGATAGCGTTTTGAGAAATTTAGTTTAAAATCGCATAAATATGTATTATCTGATAACCATTTACAGCGTTTTAAATTTTTCCTTGATAACTGTTTAG